TTTAGAGTACTCATTAATTTGCTGGTTACTCTGTTTGGTAACTTTGTGTGTTTCTGGGAAAAGGGGAAGTTAAGCAAGCTGCCCTTGGGCATACATTTCCCGTAGAAAGAACTGTCTATAAACACTAGTTAGACCTGAGCGGACCACCCACTGTATTTTTGTATGAGTAGCAGTAGCTTAGCGGTTCTTGAGGCAGGCAAGATCAGTTTAGGGGTGTTTTACACTATTGTTTCATTTCTTGGGTCCTGCTCAGCCCTTTTTCCCAAACATTTACCGTGTGTTCAGCAATAAACCATTTATGTTTGACGGTAATAATAATAATAATAATGTGCCATTTAGCAGACGCTTTTATCCAAAGCGACTTACAGTCATGCGTGCATACATTATTTTATTTTTTTTGTGTATGGGTGGTCCCGGGGATCGAACCCACTACTTTGGCGTTACAAGCGCCGTGCTCTACCAGCTGAGCTACAGAGGACCACCCGGTAGTTCATGGTTGTTGTGTAGTTTTTGTTCTCACTGTTCCATGTCACACTCCTAATTTGCATGAATTATGTTACGGGTCTCATGTCCATCCACCCTAGACGTTTAGAGCCACGGGGTTCGGAGCAATGAAGAAGCAAAAAAGAATCTCAAAAATGAAAGGCATGGCAATTGGTTGATAAATAACCTAAGGGAATGTTTAGGAAGGTGGAAAAAATTGACACATAAGCAGAACTATGTGTCAAGAGGGGGGAAGAGGCTAATTGTATTAGATAATATACAAAGGAGAGGACAAAATACTTTTAAAAAAAACATTTTTTAGATAGTCTAAAAAGAGAATGCAGTCAGAAATTGTTACATTAATCTGAACATGTGTGAAGATAGTTTATTAACCACACCCGTATGTCAGAGGTTTTGTGCCCCACAGGTGAACTAAAGGAGAAGGTGACCCACTATCTAACCAGGTGACTGGTGAGCATCCAGTCACTAGAAGGAAAACTGGAAGCAGGCCTGTTGGGAAGGGCCCTATCAGGTTATGTTGGTAACCACCTTGGCCATTAGAATAGCAGAGAGAGGAACCTGGGTCCATGTTACCCACTGCAAGAAGGTAAGACCACATACAAGCACCGCTTAGCACACGCAGAGTTGACGAGCGGAACTGCGCCACAGGGTGCGGGGGTCATCTCTGTCAACGAAGATCTCCTACCCAGACCTATCATCACTGTAGTGTGTTACTAGGGTGTGAGTATGGGGTGGTACCGAGCAGAAGGACTCAAGACAGGAGAGGGTTGGGGGTTTTTGGGAATATGGGTGACCCTGAGCTGCATCATAGTCTCGGCAATAGTCGTGGTAGGTCAAAATCCACCACCACCTCGCACCAATTACGCTATGGCCTTACCATTATTAAGAAATAAAGGGAAAGCGACATGACATACTGACCATCAAGGGCGAGTGATCTACAAAATAGGAGTCAGAGAAGGGTGGGGAGTAAGATTCAAAATTATGATTAGGGATCTTATCAGAGCGGATAAGCAAGCAACATGGGATTATAAGATCCCGTTGTATTTATGTTCAGCCCCCTCAGCGGATTGTTCCTGGGCTCAGGTATTTAGACATACTGGGGGAAGGAGATATGAGACAGGGGGGGGGGCTGGATGTCCAGATGGAGGATAAGAAGGTATAACGACATCCCCACGGAGATGGTAGTAACGATAGTAAAGGTCACTAAAGAGGACATGAAAATAACTTACTGGGCTTGCGCGGACGTATACGGACGGAATACTTGTCTAAGATTATATTTAATGGAGTCAAAAGAGATAGAGGGAGCAGGTACTGGCATTAATCCATTGATGACAATAGACCGAGTAAATCAGTCAAGGGATGACGGAGTCAATTTGACTAACCCGTCCACTATGAAAGATTTTCTCCTCCAGGAATGGAACAATGGGGAAGTGGAGGGGGTCCCTGATGAGAATCTCTGGTTAAAGTGGATGAAATACACCGCTAGGGCCTTGGGGGAGACCAATTGTTATGCATGCTCCATTGGGCGACCGACAATGTTTACCGCCCCAATGCCAAAGGCAATGTTTCCCTGTGTATTAGACCTGGGGTCCAATCAAAAAGAGCCCAATTGCACAGGGATTGGGCTGGCAAAATTGACATACTCGGCCAGCCCACCTAGATTCACTTTAACTCCTGGCGAATACCAGTGTTACAGACATAGAAATGGCACCCGTAACTTGGGTGATTTTGATGGCTGTAAGGAGATAATTAATGTGACTGATTTAGATAAGGAAGGAAGGAAAAAAAGTAGGAACCTAACCATCCCTCTGACTGATGTGTGGTGGGCATGCACAAAAAAAGGGAGTATTCGGCAGACATTACCAGAGGGATGGGTGGGTACTTGTGCACCAGTGTTGTTGGTCCAGCCTGTAAGAATTAGTCATCAAAGACCAGTGACAGGAAGAAGAATCAGAAGGAAAAGGAATATAGGTCAGGAAGGAAATAGCCCCATTTGGATAGATGGTATAGGCATCCCCAGGGGTGTTCCAGATGAATACAAAGCTATGAATCAGATATGGGAGGGGTTCACCACAACATTTTTCTGGTGGGTGACAATAAACAAAAATGTGGATTGGATTAATTATATCTATTACAACCAACAACGATTTATTAACCAGACTAGAGATGCAGTAAAGGGGATCTCCGAGCAATTATCGGCCACCTCACTTATGACCTGCGAAAATCGGTTAGCTCTGGATATGTTGCTGGCAGAAAGGGGTGGAGTCTGTAAAATGGTGGGGGGCCATTGTTGCACATTTATCCCTAACAACACCGCACCGGAGGGGACGGTGACCAGAGCTCTTGCAGGATTAACTGCGCTAAGTAAAGAATGGGCTGAAAACTCAGGAAATAGTACATCTTGGACAGGATGGTTTGATACCATGTTTGGTAAATGGAAAACCATAGCAGCAACCATCTTAGGGGCAGTCAGTGTTTGTATGGGAATTCTTGTATTATGTGGTTGTTGTCTTGTTCCCTGTGTCCGAGGACTGGTGAGCAAGGCGTTGGTGAATGCAGTATCTCACCAAATGATAAGAGATGGACCGACTCCGGACTCTGACCAGGAGAGCGGGAAATACGATCCTCCAGGCTTGGGGGATAACGACGACTTTGACCCTGAAAGACCGCAATTGGATGAAACGTTTATTGGTTCTGATGTATGAAGGTCATAGGGAAAATCCTAAAAAGAAGACCTATGATTGGATGTAGATAAATAGAACTGATCTCTGAGATTAACATGTTTGTAAATACATTTATCCTGAAGATGAAACCATTTAGTCAAAAGGGTGGATTGATAGATGAATTTGTGTATTAAAAATAATGACTAAAGAATTTCACCCCAAACACAGTATAAATGTTAGAATTATCATGTAGTGTCAACCCACTAACAGAGGGGGCATTACTAACCATTCAAGGGGGAAGGCGGGAACTGTTTAAGAAAGGTGGGAGGAGCATAGTGTCTTTGTTTTGTCACGAACCGGCTCAAGTTCGTAACAAAAGGGAGACACGTGGAGACAAGGAATACCCAAAATATATATTTATTAGCTAAAGTAAACTAAATCAAATAACAATGGTGTGTGTAATCAGTAATCAGTAGTGTAAGTGAGTGTTTGCAGACATAAATGTAATAATGCAAAGTGTTGAAAGGTGCCAAAGCAAACAACCAAAAAGGCCACAAAAATATCACAACCAAGGTCAAAGTATCTGCCTGGAGAGAGTCTCCTCAATGAATGTGGAAGAGGTCCATTTATGCTGGGACACACCCGGCCCAGGTGTTTCCCATGTAGCTGACGACCCTCCCAACTCCGCCCACCGGCATCCTAATAAGGAAACAAGAGCAAAGAGAGAATACGGCAGACAGAGTGGGAGGGTCGTCACAGTTTGTCAAGGAGTATAAAAAACAGGATATTTGTGTTTTTGAGCAGAGCTCTCCTTAAATAAAATTTACTGATAATTACTTGTGGATTGTGGACCTTGAATCATTGATGATTAAAACCAGAGCTTTACAACCTCTGGTAATGATTCAAGCTTAGGATGAATTAGAGATAGAAATTCACATGACAGTTTCCTCTCCTTCTGCCCTAATAACAGGTGTCCTGTATGTTCCTGATTGGTGGTCGTTGAGGGGTCTGCTGATTGCTAAGGTGGACCAATCAGTGAACATTCCTCTGCATGGCACCACCTGTTGCTGGTGTTGCAATCACACATCCCATTGTATAAAAACCAGTCTGTTGTGTTTGTTGAAAAAAGACTGTTTCCGTATGTGAGTATGGATACTGTGGTATCCTGTGTATTGTGTACTCACTAAGTTTGGTGACTCTGTTTGGTAAATTTGTTAGAGAATAATTTCTGTATGTGAGTATGGATACTGTGGTATCCTGTGTTTAGAGTACTCACTAATTTGCTGATTGCTCTGTTTGGTAACTTTGTGTGTTTCTGGGAAAAGGGGAAGTTAAGCAAGCTGCCCTTGGGCATATATTACCCGTAGAAAGAACTGTCTATAAACACTAGTTAGACCTGAGCGGACCACCCACTGTATTTTTGTGTATGATTAGCAGTAGTTTAGCGGTTCTTGAGGCAGGCAAGATCAGTTTAGGGGTGTTTTACACTATCGTTTCATTTCTTGGGTCCCGCTCAGCCCCTTTTCCCAAACCTTTACCGTGTGTTCACAAATAAATATTTTATGTTTGACGGTAGTTTATGGTTGTCGTGTAGTTTTTGTTCTCACTGTTCCATGTCATCATTCTAATTTGCATGAGTTATGTTACGGGCCTCTCAGGTCCATCCCCCTAGACATTGAAAGCCACGGGGTTCGTAACAGTGTCTCTGTCTCTGACTCCCTGTCTACCTCTGTGCTCCAGAACCTGGATGACAGTGACTGGACCAACAGCCTGTATCCTTCTCCTCTGTCTGGGCTGGGGCTGGGGGACACCAGCTTTACTGACGACATCAACATGTCCTCGGTCATGTTGAAGGAGGAGGATCCCGGAGAGGCTGGTGAGATTATTTTCTGGCTGGTTATTAACATTTTAATTGATTGATTTAATATCGCTGATGAGCCAGCAGTTCCACTTCCCCGGTGTCCCAGCCAGGTCTGAAAATCAGCACGTATAACTGACATCAAGGTCCAGATTTGGGGAAAGGGGTTACAGAGGATAGTGGCTAGGTGTCGTTCTGGAAATGTGTAGAAAAACAACACTGACTTTTGACCCCACTCTCTCTCTCCTGCTGCTCCTGTGTCCTGCAGCATCAGTCAGTCTGTTCCCAGAGTTCCTCCATTCCTATCTCAGACACTCATCCAGCGCTGTCTTGACTTGCTGGAGGAGTATGAAGCCATCTGTCAAGATAAGGTACCGTTCTCTCACTCTCACCTGACACAGGTTCCCTCTACTGTGTGAATGCTAGTGAGTGAGTGTCTGTCTGTGAGTGTTTTTAGAACACGTGTGTGCAAGCGTTGGTGGAGCAGGAGGTTCGCTCCTCAAGCATGTGTGTCCAAGCGTTTGCGTATGTGTGTGAGTCATTGTGTGTGTATATATGCAGAGCTGTGTGCTACTCTTATGAACACCCAGTGATGGTGTCTGTGTACACGGAGTGTACAAAACATTAAGAACACCTTCCTAATAGTGAGTTGCATGAACACCCAGTGATAATGGTACATGTGTAGCTATGCTGCTCTTATGAACACCCAGTGATAATGGTGTATTGTGTTGTACCAGGTGGGCATGCTCCAGAGGCTGGTATCGAGGGCAGCGCCAGGGCAACAGAAGTCCTCTAAGACCGCTGGTATTAGATGGCTTTTACAGCAGGAGATGGTCACCTGGCGCCTCATCACTTCTCTATACAGGTTAGTTCGTTCTTTCTTTCTTTCGAATTACCAGGGACTTCACGATACGATACTGTCATTTTTATTGCAATTCGATGTTCCAAACATACTGCTCACCATATGCTCCAACTTGCGCAAAGAATTATATTGCGATATGTCGTCCAACATAATATACCCCGACATTTTTGTATTCATTTTCCCCTTCACTACTCCATGTATATGTGGTCATGGAGGAATGGTGTTATGGAGACACATGGTTTGACTTTGTTACATCATTGTGTTTCTCCCCTCAGAGACAGGATCCAGTCGGAGCTGGAGGATGACATCATGATGGATGTGGCTGTGAGTAGGACTCTAGAACTATGATGTCATTAGGGAACTACAGGTGTTTCTTGCTGTGTGAGAGAAATGGAGTAACCATCCTCTCTCTCTCTCGTGTGTGTCCATTTCTCGTCTCTCCTCAGGCTCCCAGTGTTAGTGAGAAGGAGGTGATGGAACAGCTCTTCCAGAGAGATGCTGTAGTACGGCAGAGTCAGGTTAGAACTCACAGACACACACACACATCCTCCCCTATAGCTGTCTCTAGTGGTTCAGTCCTGTTAAGTCTGGCGGATGGTTGTAGGCCCCTATATCTGTCTCTAGTGGTTCAGTCCTGTTAAGTCTGGTGGATGGTTGTAGGCCCCTATATCTGTCTCTAGTGGTTCAGTCCTGTTAAGTGTGGTGGATGGTTGTAGGCCCCTATATCTGTCTCTAGTGGTTCAGTCCTGTTAAGTAATATAATAATATATAATATGGCATATAACCACTGTCTCTAGTGGTTCAGTCCTGTTAAGTCTGATGGATGGTTGTTGGCCCCTATATCTGTCTCTAGTGGTTCAGTCCTGTTAAGTAATATAATAATATGCCATTTAGCAGACGCTTTTATCCAAAGCGACTTAGTCATGTGCGCATACATTTTTACGTATGGGTGGTCCCGGGGATCGAACCCACTACCCTGGCTTTACAAGCGCCATGCTCTACCAATTGAGCTACAGAGGACCACTATATCTGTCTGTAGTGGTACAAATCAAATCTGTTCTTATTTGTCACATTCGCCGAATACAACAGGTGTAGACCTTACCATGAAATGCTTACTTACAAGCCCTTAACCAACAATGCAGTTGAGAAAAATATTTACTAAAGTTAAAAATAAAAGCGCAACAATAATGAGGTTATACAGGGGCTACCGGTACCGAGTCAATGTGCGGGGCAGGGGCGGTGTGTTCATTAGGGCAATATGGGCGACGCACTGCCAAACGGGAAAAGGAAGGGATTTTTTTTCTAATCAATTATATCACAGCAACAGTAGTTATCAGTGTTCTAATCTAGACGTCTGATCTTCCACTAAATGTCCAATCAGGCTAAAGTCGTGCTTCAAATGGCCCCGCCCCCTTTGGGGCGATTTCAGTCAGGTTGAAAATCGCCCAGAAGTCTCTCATAGACTATCATGTAAAATCTTTTTTTTTCAAATATCAGAGCTTTCAATACAATCTCTATGGGTTTCTGAGGGCTTGCACTTACGCGCTTTCGTCATACGTAACATAACCATGAACGTAACTAAGAAAAGAGCGGGTAGCAGCGTCAATCAATTCACGTACTACTATCAAGATGGCTAGCCTTCAGTGCAACTCGATTGTCTCTTTGAAAGAAGTTCACATCAAAGACCATTCAAAACGAGCTACTGTAACTGGAGTGTATGCTAGCGGTCATGAGGGAACATATTGTGGAGGAGGTGAAGTCGGCGAACTTCGTAGCTATCCAAGCTGACGAGACCACGGACGTTTCTACACAGATACAGCTGGTGCTTGTGCTGAGGTACATAGATAGCAACCACAAAGTGCAGGAGCGCTTTTTTGAGTTCCTTTTCATCTCGGAATCAACCTCAGTCTCAATCGCCAGTGTGCTTTTGGAGAGACTGAACGGTCTTTTTGCCATGGAGAGTGAACTAGTCCTCAGCATGCCTGATTTCAATGAGAAAGTCATTGACCGCTTTGCTGCATTGAAAGAGAGAAGAGAACAGTTTCAGTACAAGTAATGTAGCCTCTCTCTCTCTTTGTCCCTCCCTGTCTGTCTCTTTAACACACACACGCCCAAATCAGTTCACAGTTGATGTTGTTTAAAATAGTTATTTTTCATTTTTTTTAAAGTTTAAAAAAAAAAAATAATCTGTTCATGTTCATTTTTACAAATCTATACAATTGGCCAGAATATGGTTGTTCATATTTACAAATCTATACAATTGGCCAGAATATGGTTGTTCATATTTACAAAGCCATACAGATAGCTGTGTTTACCTTTTCTAGAAATTATTTTCAAATTCTGTTTACAGGCAAAATGTCTATCACTGTTCATTTTCACAAATCTATACAAGAGGGCAGAATATGGAAGTCTATAAAAATTTCTTATTACCAATTACTTGCATCAATGTTTTCAGTAGCCTCTATCAAAAGCTCCTGCTTGCTTGTTGTGAATTATGCTCAGGTGCACATATTTCCAATTCAACCATGAGGCAAAAAATGTGGTAAAAGCTCTTGTTGATCCTGCAATCTGAACAAATACCAAGATGCTGTATTTTCAGCTGATATTTCATTTGTTTATGGAAATGCATATTGTTTATGCAGTGTTGAGGAATGTGAAAGAACACCCTTGATTATTTTTACTGTGATAACTTATTTTGCTTTTGTAAGCCAACACTTTTGAGATCAGTCAATAAATGCTTCTGGCATTGACTTATATGCTGCCCCTGTCTTCATGTTGTTGCTGGACATATCTTTTTTTAAATGTGTGTAGGTCACCTAAATCATCAGAAAAATTGCCCTCCCTGAGAATTTTTTCAGGAGCCGCCACTGGTGCGGGGGTACAGGTTAGTCCAGGTAATTGAGATAATATGTACATTTAGGTAGAGTTAAAGTGACTATGCATAGATAATAAACAGAGAGTAGCAGCAGCGTAAAAGAGGGGGTGGGGTGGGGGTTTACAATGCAAATAGTCCAGGTAGCCATTTGATTAGATGTTCAGCAGTCTTATGGCTTGGGGGTAGAAGCTGTTAAGAAGCCTTTTGGACCTAGACTTGGCGCTCCGGCACCACTTGCCGTGCGGTAGCAGAGAGAACAGTCTATGACTTGGGTGGCTTGAGTCTTTGGCAATTTATAGGGCCTTCCTCTGACACCGCCTGGTATAGAGATCCTGGATGGCAGGAAGCTTGGATCCAGTGATGTACTGGGCCATACGCACTACCCTCTGTAGTGCCTTGCGGTCGGAGGCCGAGCAGTCAGGATGCTCTCGATGGTGCAGCTGTAGAACTTTTTGAGGATCTGAGGACCCATGCCAAATCTTTTCAGTCTCCTGAGGGGGAATAGGCTTTGTCGTGCCCTCTTCACGACTGTCTTGGTGTGTTTGGACCATGGTAGTTTGTTGGTGATGTGTACACCAAGGAACTTGAAGCTCTCAACCTGCTCCACTACAGCCTCGTCGATGAGAATGGGGGCGTGCTCAGCCCTCCTTTTCCATGTAGTCCATGATCATCTCCTTTGTCTTGATCACGTTGAGGGAGAGGTTGTTGTCCTGGCACCACACGGCCAGGTCTCTGACCTCCTCCCTATAGGCTGTCTCATTGTTGTCGGTGATCAGGCCTACCACCGTTGTGTCGTCGGCAAACTTAATGATGGTGTTGGAGTCGTGCTTGGCCACGCAGTCATGGGTGAACAGGGAGTACAGGAGCGGACTAAGCACGCACCCCTGAGGGGCCCCCGTGTTGAGGATCAGCGTGGCAGATGTGGTGTTGCCTACCCTTACCACTTGGGGGCGGCCTGTCAGGAAGTCCAGGATCCAGTTGCAGAGGGAGGTGTTTAGTCCCAGGGTCCTTAGCTTAGTGATGAGCTTTGTGGGCACAATGGTGTTGAACGCTGAGTTGTAGTCAATGAACAGCATTCTCACATAGGTGTTCCTTTTGTCCAGGTGGGAAAGGGCAGTGTGGAGTGCAATAGCGATTGCATCATCTGTTGGGGCGGTATGCAAATTGGAGTGTGTCTAGGGTTTCTGGGATAATGGTGTTGATGTGAGCCATGACCAGCCTTTCAAAGCACTTCATGGCTACTGACGTGAGTGCAACGGGTCGGTAGTCAGTTAGGCAGGTTACCTTGGTGTTTTTGAGCACAGGGACTATGGTGGTCTGCTTGAAACATGTAGGTATTACAGACTCGGCCAGGGACAGGTTGAAAATGTCAGTGAAGACACTTGCCAGTTGGTCAGCGCATGCTCGGAGTACATGTCCTGGTAATCCGTCTGGCCCTGCGGCCTTGTGAATGTTGACCTGTTTAAAGGTCTTACTCACATCGGCTACAGCGAGCGTGATCACACAGTCGTCCGGAACAGCAGGTGCTCTCATGCATGCTTCAGTGTTGCTTGCCTCGAAGCGCTCATAGAAGTCATTTAGCTCGTCTGGTAGGCTTGTCACTGGGCAGCTCGTGGCTGGGCTTCTCTTTGTCCATAATAGTTTGCAAGCCCTGCCACATCGACGAGCGTCGGAGCCGGTGTAGAAGGATTCAATCTTAGTCCTGTATTTACGCTTTGCCTGTTTGATGGTTCGTCGGAGGGCATAGCAGGATTTCTTATAAGCGTCCCGGTTAGAGTCCCCCTCCTTGAAAGCGGCAGCTCTACCCTTTAGCTCAGTGCGGATGTTGCCTGTAATCCATGGCTTCTGGTTGGTATGTACCTACGGTCACTGTGGGGACAACGTCATCGATGCACTTATTGATGAAGTCGGTGACTGATGTGGTGTACTCCTCAATGCCATCGGATGAGTTCTGGAGCATATTCCAGTCTGTGCAAGCAAAACAGTCCTGTAGCTTAGCATCTGCGTCATCTGACCACTTCCGTATTGAGCGAGTCACTGGTACCCCTTTAACCATTACAGGGGAAAGTCTTGAGCAGCTTCTACAGTGTTGCATGGACATAGTGTCTGAACTGGGTCTGCCCCAGGAACTGATTTGGCATCTACAGAAGCTGAAGAGTGCAACAGAGTGAATGTTAGCTCAGCTGCTAAGGTAATGCCACGGAAGACTGAACTGGTGTGAATTTTTCATTGAATTTGTAACATGATACTGTATGTAATACATTTATTATACATTATTTTCTTATAATCCAATTGCATATATGCGTTAAACGTTTAAAAATTAAACTATAGGGTAAGTTGGATCCTTATACTATAGTGCCTTTATGCTAAATATTAAAAAGATTGACTTGTAGTCTGCACGTGATGATATGTTGTCTTCATATTATACTTATTTTTTTACGATTTTGCCCTTTTTACGATTTTGCCCTAGAAAATGAATTTCCAATGCATTCCTGTACAGATGTAATGATATCTAGGCAATACCTTTCTGATACCTTCCCACGGGGGTCGCTCTGGATAAGAGCGTCTGCTAAATGACTATAAATCTAAAATCTACTTCCTGCTTTAGTTTTTGCTTGTGAGCAGGAATCAGGAGGATAGAATAATGGTCAGATTTGCCAAATGGAAGGCGAGCGAGAGCTTTGTACATGTCTCTGTGTGTGGAGTAAAGGTGGTCTAGAGTTTTTTTTTTTCCCCTCTGGTTGCACATGTGACATGCTGGTAGACATGAGGTAAAACGGATTTAAGTTTCCCTGCATTCAAGTCCCCGGCCACTAGGAGTGCCATTTCTGGATGGGCATTTTTCTTGTTTGCTTATGGCTTTATACAGCTCGTTGAGTGCGGTCTTAGTGCCAGCATCGGTTTGTGGTGGTAAATAGACAGCTATGAAAACTCTCTTGGTAAATAGTGTGGTCTACAGCTTATCACGAGGTACTTTCTCAGGCCAGCAAAACCTCAAGACTTCTTTAATATTCGATTGACAAATAGACACAGACCGCCACCCCTTGTCTTACCAGAGGCAGCTGTTCTGTCTTGCCGATGCACAGAAAACCCAGCCAACTGTATATTATCCATGTCGTCGTTCATCCACGACTCGGTGAAACATAAGATATTACAGTTTTTTAATGTCCCGTTGGTAGGATAGTCTTGAACGGAGCTCATCCGGTTTATTCTCCAATGATTGCACGTTGGCCAATAGGACGGATGGTAGAGGCGGGTTACCCACTCGCCGACTAATTCTCACAAGGCACCCGGACCTGCGTCCCCCTGTATCGGTGTCTTCTCTTCATGTGAATGACAGGGATTTGGGCCTGGTCTGGTATCTGGAGTAAATCCTTGGCGTCCTGTTTAGTCTGATGGATGGTTGTAATAGAGACATTGTACAGTCTTACATTATGGTTTCACTTCCTCTCTCTTAGCTGGTAGTGGATTGGTTGGAGAGTATCGCCAAAGATGAAATCGGGGACTTCTCTGACAACATTGAATACTACGCCAAGTCTGTGTATGGTAAGTAGCTGGAGTCATTTTGAGAGACAAGCACTTCCGTGTTTTCTCAGTGTTGTATGTAGTTTAGGAAGACCCCGTGTGACTTGGCTAATATTCTGTGTGTTTGACTTTCAGGGAGAATACCCTTCATGCTCTGAAACAGAGGAGAAACGCATCCAGCACAGGCTTCAATGTTCCCCTGGTTATTGAGCTGGTAGGAGGGACTATCTAGCTCTCATACATACACACACACTCTCACACACACACTCCCTCTCCTACAGACACATGCTCTTGTGCCATGATAGGGAATACGTTGTTTTACTTAGAACGTAAACTAACTCTGTCTGTCTTTAGGACCCTGACGCCCCCATCAGACAGAAGCGTCCCCTGGCAGACCTGGACAGAGAGAATGACGCCAGGCTGCTGAAGTACCTGTTCACCCTCCTCAGAGCGGGCATGACTGACGAGGTGAGACACCGGCCGCCTCCCAAATAACACCCTATTCCCTGTGTAGTGCACTACTTTTGACCAGAGACCTCTTGGCTCTGGTCAAAAGTACAGCACTATACAGGTAATAGGGTGTTATTTGAGACAGATCTCAGTATGGCTCCACCTGGTGGACGGGAGGGTATACTGAGCTGATTTCTAGTCTCAGTGACGTGTTTGTGTGTAGGCCCAGAGGCTTTGTAAGCGCTGTGGACAGGCATGGAGGGCTGCTACTCTGGAGGGGTGGAAGCTTTACCACGACCCCAACATCAACGGAGGTCAGTTCTCAACCTTACACTCTCACCCCAACAGATGTTTAACACAAGTAGGGCTGTGGCGGTCATGACATTTTGTCAGCCGGTGATTGTCAAGCAAATAACTGCCGGTCTCACGGTAATTGACCGTTTTAATTAACATACAAATGTTTAGCATCTCCTGGCTAACATTCATAGCCTACAAGCCATTGATGCAGACCTTTTGGAACATCTATATTTTAAAAAAAGTCTACTAAATCCATGTAATATAGCCTACACCGTCACAATAAATCCATTATTTATTTTAGACAGGTCTAAAGAAACATGATATGATTGGTCCTGAGTGGCGCAGTGGTCTAAGGCACTGCTTTGCAGTGCTAACTGTGCCACTAGAGATCCTGGTTCGAATCCAGGCTCTGTCGCAGCCGGCCGCGACCGGGAGACTCATGGGCGGCGCACAATTGGCCCAGCGTCATCCAGGGTAGGGGAGGGAATGGCCGGCAGGGATGTAGCTCAGTTGATAGAGCATGGCGTTTGCAACGCCAGGGTTGTGGGTTCGATTCCCACGGGGGGCCAGTATAAAAAAATATATGTATTCACTAACTGTAAGTCGCTCTGGATAAGAGCGTCTGCTAAATGTCTAAAATGTAAATGTAAATGTAAGAAAATGTAGTCTATTTCAGAAGAACAGAATAGCATACTCTGAGTCGTCCTTATGTTATGCCCTGATCTGGCTATGCCATATGGCTGGGGGCTACACTAGTTCATTTAGCAGACAAGATCTGCTTAGAAATCCTGTGGCATTATTTTATATTATTTTATAGTAATGAAGAATACAATTGAACAAAGCTGAATAGAATAGAGAGGATATTTTCTCCAAACGATTTGAGGGAGTGCGCACATGCGGCAAAATAAATCCTTGTCATCTATGCACTTAGATAGCCAATAGAGGAAGCTTTTCCAGTGGTTCAGTTTCATGCCAGCCAGGTAGGCTATACTCCTGTTGTAAAGAGAAGCCATGTGCTTAATATTAGGAAAGTTGAGAAATAAATATAGTAGGCCTAGCCTATAGAAAGCTGATGGGATCCTCCTCTTTTTAATAGAGGCCATCACTATGTTTTCTCACGCAATTGCATAGCCTATAGAAATGTTGAGCAACGTGAGCTCATGGGCTCTCATGAAGTGTTTGATTAGATTTTCGATTACATTTGCATTAATGTCAGAGTGATTAGAGGGACAATAGAGTGCTGAGTACCAGGTAGTTAGCAAGTTTGGTAGGCTACTAATGACCAGCAGCAGCATCAGAGCTTGGAGAAGCCTAATTACCGTGACTAAAAACACTCACGTGAAATGTGACTGCGGTCATGACTTGTGGCGGTAATCCGGTCACCATAACAGCCCTAAACACACGTCCCTATGTATGGTCTGGAATGGAACTGAGGGGTGTGTGTGTCCAGGCGGTGCAGAGCTGCTACCAGTGGAGGGGAACCCTCACCGCTGTTTATGGAAGGTGTGCTGCTGGAGGATGGCTGACGACGAACACGTCAGCAGATATGAGAGAGCCATCTACGCTGCTCTGAGTGGGAACCTCAAACGGGTATGTAGTGTGGTGTATCTCCCTAAGCCCCCTCTCTGGGTGGTGTCAGGTGGAGGAGGGTGGTGTCAGGTGGAGGAGGGTGGAGGAGGGTGGTGTCAGGTGGAGGAGGGTGGTGTGTCTCAGGGAAAGGTGAAACGCCTTGTCAAAGTAAACCTATAACAGCAATGTTCACATAAGAGAGGACTATCCTCGACTGGTAATGGCCAGGACTATCCTCGACTGGTAATGGACTGATTTGTCTCTCTCTCTCTCCTCTAGCTGCTCCCAGTGTGTGAGTCGTGGGAGGACAGTGTGTGGGCCTACTTCAGGGTCCTGGTAGACTCTCTGGTGGAACTGGAGGTCAGGTCCTCAGGAATGGGCAGCGAGGAGCTGGAGGAGCTGCCACAAGAATACCTGGAGGCCAAGTAAGATCCCCAGCCTCTAGTAGGTTGCCTTACCCAGGGACAATATCCTTTAGTGGGCAGCCCTGCCTAGAGAATACATCCTCTAGTAGATAATACCTGGAGGCCAGTAAGATCCCCATCCTCTAGTAGAGGCAGCGGAGGGCTGGGTATCAGGACCCTAACCTTCCTCAGTGCATCAGCTTATATTTCTAAATGCAAATGGTAATATATCTCCCTTTTCACTCCAGCTGGACACTAGAGAAGGTGTTTGAGGAGCTGTTAGCAACAGAGTCAAAGGTGAGCATATGTTTGTCTGCTCTGTCAAACTAGCTATGTGTGTACATCAGACCAGTCTGCTAGCTGTGTACATCAGACCAGTCTGCTAGCTGTGTACATCAGACCAGTCTGCTAGCTGTGTACATCAGACCAGTCTGCTAGCTGTGTACATCAGACCAGTCTGCTAGCTGTGTACATCAGACCAGTCTGCTAGCTATGTGTGTACATCAGACCAGTCTGCTAGCTATGTGTGTACATCAGACCAGTCTGCTAGTGTTGATGATCACAAGTTTACTGGAGAACGGAGACCAAGTAGAGACTTTCGGACAAGGTGGATAATTGTATAATATAAGGCAGTTTATTCAGAGGTAAAGATATCTGTAAATAGCGTGCACGGACCCGTTCGTCAATCTCGTAGGGAGATATCTGAGAGCGAGAGCCCCTAAACATTGTGTGCTGACATTTTATACAATAAAATAAAGTAGGTTGATTCTAGTAGTTCTGATCTTCTGATTGGTCCTGATGAGTTGGTCGAGGTCACCTCCATTGCATTGGCTCTGAGTCGGGTTCTCTGTCTTCAGATGTTCAGCCTAAGAGAAGGGGGTTTTTGTGTGTGTGTGTGCTTAACAATGATGATGTGTGTGTGTGCGTGTGCGTGTGTGTATGTGTGTATGTGTGTGTATGTTTGTGTGTGTGTGTGTGTGTGTGTGTGTGTGTATGTGTGTGTGTTAACATGTGATGTGTGTGGGGTGTGGTGGTGTG